TGGTTTGGCTCGGTGGATAGACTTATTCATCCTATATAATAAAAGGCTAATATGCAAATTGTCCCCTCGGGAGTTCAACTGCTCACTATAATGTGCGCTGACCACCAGGGGGCATCATGGAATGAAAGAAGGCCCAGGCCAGCAATTGGCCCTGATTGCTGGCCAGGACTAGGGACCCTACCTGTGCACGAATTTCATGCACCAGGCCTCTAGTTTTCATATAATAAACACAGAATATATACCTGGTATGTAGTAGGCACTTGATAATTTTTTGTCAAAATGAGCAAACATTGTAGAGTGCCTATCACAAAGCAAACAAAATGTTACACCATGGGGGCAGTTCCATCACTCAAAGGGGTTTCAGTCTCAGGACATTGCAATAATCTGGGCAAAAAAGGATTGGAGACCAGATCACAAATGATAAGACCAGAATGGGAAGAACAAAAAGTCTAATTTTTTTAGGAGTCCCATCACGTAGGACTATTATAGTTCCTGCTTCATAGCTGAATCTTTTCAGCAATAAACTATTTCACTGTACATCTCAGAGATCAACTTCATATGTCTCCAGGACATACTTACTGTTAAGCTGTATTCAACAAAATAGGCATTAGTGAACATATTGGGAAAATGGCTAACTTTGTTCAGGTAAGAAATATCAGACATTACTTACCCATTAAAATTGTCTCTAATGTGACTATTATATCATTTCAAACATTGGTACTGCAAAATAAATGTTCTGCCTTTTTCCAACCAGTTTAATATTAGACTGACATTGACAATTGCAAGTTGGCAATGCTTAACTAAATTTGAATTTCAGACAAACAACAAATTTTTTAGTACACATATCCCCCAAAGTTGGACACACTTATACCAAAACCAATTCATTGTTTACCTGAAATTCAAATTGAACTGGGTATCTTATATTTTATCTGGTAACTCCACTGCCACCCAAATAAACGTTACCTGTAAATGGTAGCTCCCTTCAACAGTATGTAGTCCATCAAATGTCCCTAGGGCATACACTTCATCTGCTCTCTTCTCAGACATCTTGTAGCTTAGATGACAACAGAGATCGTTCTGACAAACTGTATAATTTCCTGTGCCTCCTCTGAGCTCCAAGAAGGTGTATTCATCAAAAAAGACAGTGCCCTTAAACTCCTTGTTTCTCATTGAGAATGCTTCTATTCCACTAGCATAAGAAGTCCAATTCACCACGACTGGGTGCTTTGGGTGGGAATCTAATCGTGAGAGAAGTAGTTTTCCCTTCTCTGTCTTCATATCATAATGAAATGCTCTTGGAGAATCAGGTGCATAGATGCCACTTCCTGGAAGCAATAAGTTGGAAATCACATTTGAAACAGAAAAGTGAAAATAATAACAGTTGTTACTATTTTAAACTCACATTAACATTTTACTTCCTCTAAGGTATATCCTAGTATTTTTACTAACTTCAGTGAAATATGCCAAGGACAACAGATGATAAAAATCCAATGGAGTCTGACACCAAGAAACCAAGAAGAGTTGTCACATAAGAAGTGGTGAATTTGGGGGGAAAATGAGAAGGGGTGTTATTCAAGTTGAATAAAACTAAATAAATCTGAAAACAATTTATATGAAGATTAATTCTATAGCATGTCACCAGCTAGATACACAAAAATTAGGAGTTGAAAAACACTGTGTTAAGGAGTACATATTAGTTAGAAAAGATTTTTTTTTCTTTTGCTTTTTGGATTCCATTAAGCTTGTAAATCTTAACAATTATACATTACCTGTCATTTTCTTTGAGGGGTGATGTATATTTGATGCAAGGAAATTGACCTTCATGCCCATAGCCCAAGCTGAGTGGAATTCAATAGCTGTCAATAGGGGCAAAACATTCATCCACGCTGTGGGATACAGTATGGTGTCCACATGGAAGTCTTTCACCAGGGCCACAGCAGGGTCGTGGAAGAGTATATCGAAGCATGTGAAAATGCCAAACCTTCCAAAGGTGGTGTCGAAAGTCACAACCTCAGGCTCCTTGGGTGCATTGAATTGATCTTCACCCAAGAAAAGGTTTTGCTGCAATGAACAGAAGACGAAGACGGGGTGAATCTCTTTTTAGAAGTTGCTTGGATGTCACTGTGTCTGAAAAAGTACAAGTGCACATTGATTCGGCAGTGCTAATTTCATCTATGACCATTTTCTTCCATCGGTCCTGACTTGTTAGGTTATGCCTTAGTAACACCAAACTGCTTGCTCTTCCTTGCATACCTTGTTCTCTCACAAATTCACACCCTTGATCATGCTCTTCACTCCCCCTAGAGTTCCCTCCCACACTTTTTTACCTAGAAATGAACAGGTAACTTCAGTACAGATTGGCATCTGATAGAACAGAGAGTGCACATTTTGCTGTAGAAATACTAAGGAGCTGTACTTAGCCTGATTTGGGGATCCAGGGAAGATTCCTCATGAGGAGGGTCTAGACCAGCGGTTCTCAACCTGTGGGTTGCGACCCCTTTGGGCGTCGAACAACCCTTTCACAGGGGTCAAATCTCCACATTTTTAGATATGTACAGGGAATCCTTATCTCTTAATACCTTGAATCTTACAAGAGGTAGGCGTGAAAAGATAACGCATATTTGCCAAGAATGCATCTATTTTCTGAGGCTAAAGGACTTTCTTTGCTTCCTTCTTGTTAAAACCAAGTCTATCTGGTAAGTGTTTTTTCATTCTAGCCTTGAGCCATTGCCAAAGTATGTCTTTAAAAGGAGAAAGTCCAAAAGATGACATATATTTCAATGCAGGTAGGCCCTACTCATTCTTACACACTCCCAACAACACACTCCTGTCCTAAATGCACACACACCTAATCATTCCTTTCTCTGCTTTGTCTCTACTCAGCTTCTAAAGTATGCTTCTTATCAATAATAAGGATTTTCTCCTATTGTCCACTTTAATTTGTTATGCATTTAGTAACTACTTGCATTAAATTCTACCTTATGGTAGCGTGCCACCAGTTTTCCTTGAGAGTCAAACACCACATCAGTGTTGTATTGGTAACGGCCATCAGAAGGACACTGGGGGTCGCTGGCATTGCACGGTTTCTTGTCCCCAATATTTGCCACAACATAGATAGAGTTTTCCTTGGCCAGACAACTGAGTCTTTCTTGCACTGGGGTGTGGCCAAATCTGGTAAGTGTTATTGGAAGAGGAAAACAAAAATCAAGCTTAGCTTTTAATAAAACTCAGGATGATAGTGGCCTGAACCTATTATGCAATATATACACACACAAAAAAATAAATTCTAAATGACATAGGTAGAAGGGAAAGATTAAAACAAAAAGAGACTTCAGAGGAAGCACATGCTTGTGGGAATTCATTTGTAGGAAATGAGTCTAGAGTAACACTCCAGGCCATGTATTTTTTTCTTCAGAGCATTTATCATCATTCATAATCATATATTCATTCATGTGTTAATCATATATTGTATGTTACATCTTATAGCTATTATGGGGCAAATACACACACATCTCCTATTCACTGAACCCATGCCTGACAGAAAACAGGCATTAAAAAAGTATTTTGAATGAAAGAAGGTCAACTTAGAGCGAGGATTCTAGGAAGATGGCAAAGTTGGAAGCACCAAGAATCTATTCCTCTACTTAGATAACAATTGCAGAATCGGTCTGACATAATACTTCGGAACTCTGCAGTTTATTTGAAGGCTTGAAACTTCCAGGGTAAGTTGCAGTTAATTTCAGTCTATTTTAACACTGGTTCAGCGGTGACTACCCATGACCCATCTTTCCCCCAGCCCCAGGGCAGGCCGCCATGCAGGTCTTCCCGGAGCACCTTGCAGGCAGCTTGTGGGAGCAAGGTGAGCAATAAGGCCCCTCTCCTACAAATATTGGGAATCTGTGTTCTGAGCATCGATAACTGCTTCTGATCTCAGAGATGCAGACTCGGGGGCAGGCAGCCTTTGCTGCACCCCTCACGCATTGTTGCTAGTGACTTCTAGAGGATTTATAGGGTCTTTATTTTTTTCCCTCTTTTGGACACCAGACATTTAAGGACTAGGACATAAAAAAGCAATCGCATGTATAGGAGAATTTAGAAAGTCACCGCACATGCCCAGGGAAAGGCACAGGCTAACAACAGGCCTCAGGAGACCTTAAGTTACACCTCAAGCTTATGCCCAGCACAGACACAGCTTGTAACAATCAAAACAAACAAACAAGAGATACAAAACCCCGGGGAAGGAAGAAAGAGAAGTTTTGATTTCCAGTTATCACATTGTAAGATTCAAATGTCCACTTATCAAAAAAAATCATAAGGCATACAAGTAACCAGAGGGAAGGCAGGGTGGGTGGGTGGCAAGAGATCAACCAAAGAACTTATATGCATATATGCATAACCCATTGACACAGACAATAGTCTGGTAAAGGCCTGGCATCGGGGGAAGGAGTGGGCTAGAAGGGTGAATGGGGGCAAAAAGGGTACATCTGTATAACTTTCAACAATAAAGATAATTTCTTTTTTTTTTTAACTGTCTGTTTAGACCCTTTTCCTATTTGGAGTCATAAGGGATAGAACTCTGCACAAGAGGCTAAGAAACTTGTTCCAAATTTAATAGACAAGGAGGTACCATTCAATGCTTTGAGGACAAAAGTAACAGGATCTGAATTTTCTTTAATAGGACATCACAGTATAAAATGTACCAGAATGGTTAGAGGCTAAGTTTAGGGAAACCATTAGGAAGTCATTTCAATGGTTGAGATTAGAGACAACACGAGTTGGGTTAGAATGGTGCCAGCCAGTATGGAAAGATGGGAATACAAGAACATTTGTTAATGCTTAATTTCTTTACTTTTATCATATTGCCAGTTGTCCCAGAAAAGGAATTAAAATGCAATTTTGAAAAGTGAGATCTCAAAATATGTAATATCTATCCATATTTATTTTGCATTGGCACCACACAAAAATAGCTTAAAAATGGTTACTACTAGGTTATTGAAGAGTAGCTAAGACTAGGAAAGCTGTTGAATGAGTGAAAATGTGGTGCCATCTGCTGGCAATAGTAATGAAAGCTTTCTTTGAGTATCAAATCTAGACCATTACATTTATAAATTAGTACAAAACCATAGCAATCACCTGAAAATATATCCTTGTAAAAGATCACGGATACAAGAACACATTTAAAAACTTATTTTAAATGCATTTATATAAGTGACCATTTGATAGTTTTTCCCATCATTTGCTTCAATTCTATAGGAAATGCACAGAAATAAATATAACACATTGAACCACTTGAAACATATTTGTCAAATCTTTCCAGGTCAATATATTTTTAATCTGTTTTGGTCACCCCATTTTCCAGAATAGTACCTGTACATGAAGCATGTCAAACTCAAGAGCTAACATGGGCCAAATAAACAAGGTTTAAGTTTATGGGGGCCCCAAAAAAAAAAAAAAGCTTCAATTTTCATAGAAACATAGCTTTATTTCAATAGAGACATGCTGAAAACAAAGGGCTTACATAAAATAATAGAACATTTTAATAAAAATTAATATTTTTTCTTGAACATTAACTTACCAAACACTGAATAACTGCACAAATTAATAAGCATAACGCAAATAAGTCTATTTTTCTTATTCTCCACAAGTGAAATATTTCCTGTTGCATGCACCAAACAAGTTAGTCCAAGGCTAATGACATGGCCATCAGCTGCTGAAATATTCGCTGCTAGTATTAGTGGAGAGAAATGGTGTGCCTGCGCATAAGGAATGTAAGGGAAATGGATGCAATACGATTATAGTCATCAGTCATTAGTGAATGTGTAGTTCATTATTAATAATTATGTGTAACAGGATATTGTAAAAATTAAGTTACGAAATTTTTATTAAAACGTTTCTTACATACCGTTATATTGGCTGGGCTAGAAAAACATTCGTTGTGGGCCACATGCAGCCCGTGGGCTGTGAGTTTGACATGCTTGCTGTAAATAATAGGTTCTCAAAATATTTGTCCAATAACTGAATGAAGGCAAGGAATGGAGATGTAATTGGTGAAAAATATAAGTAGAAAACAAGACTCTTTGAACTGGGGATTTTCTGAAGGTTCTTGGAAATTTGGTTCCAGGGAAGAGCCATTAAAAACCAAGTGAAGCCCTTGCTGGTTTGGCTCAGTGGATAGAGCATCTGCCTGCAGTCCAAAGGGTCCCGGGTTCGATTCTGGTCAAGGGCACGTATGTCAGTTGCAGGCTCCTCCCCAGCCTGAGCCCTGGTCAGAGCTTGTGCAGAAGACAACCAATCGATGTGTTTCTCTCACATCAATGTTTCTGTCTTTCCCTCTCTCTTCCACTCTCTCTAAAAATCAATGGAAAAAATATCCTGGGGTGAGGATTAAGAAAAAGAACCAAATAAAGTTACTTTATAATGGAAGTGATAACAGAAGGGCTTTTAAAAACTGAATTTCTAATATGAGAAATGGAAAAATATGAAATAGTTATGACACAATGAAATGTGAGTAGATAATTATGATAAATAACATTAAACTTGGTCAAAATCAAGGTGGCTCTATAAGCAGTTACAGTAGTTTGTGTAGTTTTGAGAGCAATTCCAAAAGAGAAATTCCTAGAATTTTAGCATTTGGAAATAAGTGAGTTAACTGACATGAATCTCTTAGGTGCATCAGATATTGTTTTGCTTATATTAAAAGTAACAGTGCTACTTTCATCACACTTCATATTTCTTTGGACTAGACTTGATTTAAACCACTTACACAGTTCTGCTGCATCACCTCCTAGATTGACAGTTAGCTTTGGCTTTAAGGATTCTGTATACCTTAACCACATCAACTAACTATCTGATGGATGAGAAAGAAAATTTTGAAATTCTAAACTGACACATGACTATTTTGCTATTTACTCACACATTTTTCAAATTATAGACACAACAGGGAAACAATTTTTCTGTTCACTAGTAAGCAGTCAGAAGACAAGAGTCTGGATCTGATTCTCCCACTAACCAGCTACCTACCCATGACCAGATCCAGCCCCTCAGTGGATTTGATGGTTTCTCTGTTACCTTCCAGCACTGATTTCTGTGATTTTATAATACGTAGTTACTTTTCTATTAAATATTTCCAAATGAGATGAAAAATAATAAAGCTGTCTTGAAACTTAGAATTGATAGTGGATCTTATGCAATGGTCTTCTGCAAAATTTTCCCAAGCGAAGTAAGCTCATATTCATGATTGAATTTGTTAAGTCTGTCTGTTTACCTGTTGGGATGATTACAAGGGATCCAGTTCACTTGAGGGTCTGGGATATCTTCCAGGTATGGGTAGATAGATTCTCTATTGAAGTTCCAGCCATAAAGACCATCTTCTGGAGTCACAATAATATGTGCACCCTATTAAACATGCAGCTTAATTAAAATATTTCTCAAATAAGCAAACAACCAAAAAGGGGCCTGCCTGCAAGAGGACCTGAGGAAGTGAGTGGCTGACAGACCACCTTCAGGTGTATGTTTTTCCCTTTCAATCTTATTCCTTTGTTTTCTATCCTCTTATAATTTATTTTCTTTGTCCAACCACTTGCATTTTCCAATTCTGACATCATTCTTTATTTATAACTAGAGGCCCGATGCACGAAATTTGTGCAAGAGTAGGCCTTCCTTCCCCCAGCTGCTGGCACTGGCTTTCCTCTGGCACCTGGGACCTAGGCCTCCCTCACAGCCCCAACTTCTTCTGGAAGGAAATCCGGTCTAATTAGCATATTACGCTTTTATTATTATAGATGCTTTCTTTTTTTTTTTTCTAAGCATGAATAGCTTTCCAGGCTACTCACAAGTTGACACCCATTGCAGTTGTTAACTATAAACCTAGCTCTTCCCCAAATCACCCACTCCCTGAACTTAGACCAACTCTTGTACCTGAGTGTATGGAATTGATTTATAATTCAAATTCTTTTCCTCTGCTCCAGCCTTCCCTGCTGTATACCCTGCAAACATGATTCCTGCTTCTCAGGAGGGGGCCTAGAGGTACAACCTGGGCACCTTGGGGTGGGAGAGTCATCCTGGAAGCTGATTTTTGTATGTATAAGAATGTGTATTGATAGATATGTTATATGTATATATCCTTGACTTTCATGACATTTCACATATCTGTCTATACCTGAGTTATGAATATCTTATTTAAACCACATACTTAACCTTAAACCTTTCATTTAACTCAAGGACTTACTATGCATTAGCATATACTAGTATACTTTTTACAAATTGGTAGTTACAGAATAGTCTCAAAGATGCAAATTATAGCATAGAGAATATAGTCAATGATACCATAATAACTATGTATGGGAACTTGAAATATCGGGGGGGACCACTCTGTAAAGAACATGATTTCCTAACAACTATGCTGTACACCTGAAACTAATACAGAGTAAAAAATACAATAATAAAAAAACATATACTTTTATCTAATTAAAATGAAATATGAAGTATATAATAGATAGCTTTATATGGATTGTATACATATGTAAAACATACATTCGCATGTGTTAGTATTATGAAGTATGAAGTATCTTGTAATTAGAATGAAGTTTGAAGTATATAATACATACAGTTAAGCAGTTTGCAACTTAAGCTTGTTTTGGTGCCATAAACTAACCTAAAACCCTGCACCCTCTTAAGAGAACAAAGTGCACCAAGGCCACTAATACTCTAAACTGTTCCGACAGAGAAAGCACATTCTAACCAGGCTGAGAGTAGTAAACCCTGGGACATGGAGTTAATTTAGAAATGGAGCCCATTCTCCTTTTACTGAGAACTGCCTTTCATCATGGAAAGATTAACAGCCTTATTGTGAAACAATGGGATCCCGGAAGCACCCCATCCTCTAGTCCACATTGCCAGTAATCTGTAATCATTTTACCCATTTTTATTCTATTTGCCTACTTCCCCACGCCTGGAATACCCAATTTTATTCCTTTTGCATACCCATTCCAGCTACCCTGACATATATGCCTTCACCTACCTTAATGTTAGGGGCAGAAATATTAACCATGCTCTGTTCTCTGTGATTGTTCTGTTCCGACAGAGAAAGCACATTCTAACCAGGCTGAGAGTAGTAAACCCTGGGACATGGAGTTAATTTAGAAATGGAGCCCATTCTCCTTTTACTGAGAACTGCCTATCATCATGGAAAGATTAACAGCCTTATTGTGAAACAATGGGATCCCGGAAGCACCCCATCCTCTAGTCCACATTGCCAGTCATCTGTAATCATTTTACCCATTTTTATTCTATTTGCCTACTTCCCCAGGCCTGGAATACCCAATTTTATTCCTTTTGCATACCCATTCTTATTCCTTTTGCCCACTTCCCCATGTAATCTTTGTCCTTCTACCCCATATAAGCAGCTGGTTTATGGAAGGGTGCAAAGCAGACTTTCGTGGATGACCTGCTGTTCTCCCATACTGCCGGCTTATTGTGGAATAAATGCTCATATGACTCAACCTGTTAGGGGCAAGAAAGGAATATTGGGGACTGGCTATGGTTGTGGGAAATAGTGATCATGCTCTGTTAGCCATGATTGCCTTGTGTTGGTTAAAGAAAGGACATTCTGACCTGGCTGGGAGTTGTAGGCCCTTAGGACCTGGGAGTCAACCTTGGAATGCCGTCCATTCTCAGGGAAAGATTAACAACCTTGTTACCCAAACAATGGAGTCCCCCCCCCCCCACCGCCACACACACACACAACCCCCCAGCTTCCTACATCCCCATGCCTACAGTCCAATTTCCCTGTGCAATCTTTGCCCTACCCTATATAAGCAGCTGGCCTATGGGGGGCGGCAGAGCAGACTTTGGGGAATGACCGGCTGCTCTCCCATCCTGCCGGCAGTATTGGAATGAACAGTCCTTTTCGGAATCTCCGAGTGCCGTATGGTTTGTCGCTTCCCGCTCACCTGATTTCTGCCATAACAAAATCTGTGTCTGCTTAATTGGCTCAAGTAGTGACAGGCAGCCCGGAACCATTAGTTGTCCGGTTTCATTAACACGTATGCAAATACATACTCTGACACATATTTAATTGACCCTGGTAATTGACTGTCTCAAGCCTTTTCGGAATCTCCGAGTGCCGTATGGTTTGTCGCTTCCCGCTCACCTGATTTCTGCCATAACAAAATCTGTGTCTGCTTAATTGGCTCAAGTAGTGACAGGCAGCCCGGAACCATTAGTTGTCCGGTTTCATTAACACGTATGCAAATACATACTCTGACACATATTTAATTGACCCTGGTAATTGACTGTCTCTTGGGACCCCACTCTCTACATAGAAGCCAGCACACTCAAGAGGAGGTACCTGTTTTGCTGCTGATGTGATCGCTCCCTCCAAAAGGTCCAGATTTCTGTTCATTAACCCCAACGCCAATTCACGGGACACTGGTGCGAGGGTGGCATTCGGCAAAATCACTGCATGCTCATAAACAGCTGCAATAAAGGTGTCCAGGGAGCTGGCTTTTAAGACACAGAAAACTGAAATTGCCACACAAGTCAGCAGCTGCGAAGTAATCATGCTGAAGTCCAAGGACTGTTGAAAAACAGAGCAAGCCCTTGTTTATAGAGAGAAATTACAAGGAAGCGCGTGGTTCCCAGAGCTTAGTGCTTTAAAGACAAATCACAACATCTAGCTGTTCCGGCCAAAGGTGATCCTGGGGGGGGAGGGGGCGTGAAAGGATTGAGAAAAGACAGACAAGAGAACGAAAGCTGGGTCTCAGTGGGACGCTGCTCCTTGATGAGGAGACAGTGCCCACAAGCCGTGTCTTTATTTATAGCAGATGCCACGAGGCAGAGTAGGGGCGTGATCAAGTTGTTTACAGCATTCTTGTGAGTTTCAACCCTACTCAACTACATGCACCTGAACTCTATCACAAGGCACGTGGGGCCACGTGTTCAGACCATAGGTTCAAGCTTACAGCATTAGCTGTTGGCTATAATTGTGCTGGGAAGGCCCTGCCCTCCAGCTGGGACTTGCACGTGGCAATGAGAGGACCCTGTCCTTTCATTAGTCCGAGGCTTGAGCCTGGCCAAAACACTGTAGCCGTGCCCCATATCTAGCGTTAAAAAACATCATAGACAAAATGTAAACACACTCTATAAAACACTCCTTATTGCACTCCTGAGGGCTGTGAGGACAGGATTCCTTGGGCTTCTCGCTGTGTAGACAGCTGTCTTCTCCCCGTGTGTGTGCACCGGAGTCCAAATTTTCCATTTGTAAAAACTCTGGTTATAGGATTTAGTGCCCAGCCCACTATAGAATGACTTCATCTTAACTAATTTCATCTAAAACTATCCTATTTCCAAATAAGGTCACATTCTAAAGTACAGGTGGTTAGGACTTCCACATAGGAATTCTTAGAATTCATAGTTTTAGAACTTGATAGGTGTAAATAATTTGAAGACTAAATTGCTTTGCAATTTTGATAGCAGTATCACTAGCAGAATATGAATATCTAAATGCTACACTTTATTCACTTTAGTTTCCTCAAAATGGGGAAGCCAGGACAAAGAGGAATACAAAAGGATCATTGCTATATAAAAGTGGCTTTGGACAGCAAACATGTCTGATCTCCTATTTCCTGTGGGTCCAGAATCTGGGGCGGTGTAGCTGGGTGCCTCTTTCGCGAGACTGCAGTCAGGCTGGTGGCCTGGGCCACAGTTATCTCAAAGCTCGGCTGGGAAGGATTCAGGCTCATATACGTGGCTGATGGCAAGCCTCAGGTTCCCATTGACTGTTGCCCAGAGATGTGAGTTCCTTGCTTCAGGTCTTGCTCACACTCTTGTTTCTGGCTGCCCTAAGAGCCAGAGAGCAAGAGAACCCTCCCAGGATAGAAGCTGCAGTCTCGTAGTTAATCTAACACGGAGTGTCACCTCATCACTTCAGTTGTATTCTATTCATTAAAAGCAAGTCAGTAGGTGGTCCAGCCCACACTTGACACAAGGTCATGCATGAATGAGGCAGAGATCATTGGAGACCATCTTAGAGGCAGCTGACCATAGGGTTAATAGGGAAGGAGAAACAATGACAGGGAGGATAAGAGTAAGAACTAAAGAGAGAAAAAGAAGTAGTTGGAAGAGAGCATAATAGAAAATGGGGGGGGGGGGCTTAAAGATTTTGATATAGAATAAGTAGGCAAATTTTGTTTCAGTGCAAATTAAGTATATTTTTATATTTACAGAACTATTTATGCTTAACCATTTTATTTTGGATGGTGTTATTATAGTTCAATTTGCAAATGGATATGTCTGAGTTTTTTGCTTCAGTGCTATAATAAATTTATTCTGTGGCTACCAAGGTAACCAAGAGGCTGTGACTCCTCCGCCCTCCTCAGTCTATGGCAAACCCTAGCTGACTCTACTTGCTGACCTCCTTTTGGTTTTCCATTCCCAGGTGGTTGGGGATCCACATACTTCACAGTGAGATGGAATGTGTACATAAGAATTTATAGAAGGAAGTTCTGAAATAAAAGTTAAAACTGCCATGAGCTAAAAAGAGGTTTAAAAAGTATTTGTTTGATGTTAATAAGTTAAAAATTATAGTAAGAAGCTCCCATTGGTATCCAGTTTGACATACAAAGAGCTTGAAAGTTGCCTCTCCCATCTTCACAACAAGAAAAAAAGCTGAACTGAAAAATCAATCATTTTTCTTAGATCCAGCAGAGAACTGAGGTCACAAGACAAACCATGGCCCCAAAATTAGAGAGACAGGCTTACCTGGAGCAAAAGTCCACTCTTGGAGCCAGTACTGATGTTGATATAAAAATGTCCAAACCTGTAGGGAATTTTTTCTGCCTTTATTTGAGCCAAAACTGATGACAATTGCCAGGAAGCAAGATCTCAAATGACAGCTTTGTGGTTTTCCTTTCACGCATTTGCAATTAAGGAGGGACTAAAAGGAAGATTACATAAAGGCAGGAGAAAGCAAGGCAGGGATTGGATTACAGGATAGTTAATGAGATCATGTGCTCTCTGGAGGTCTTATGGCCTTCTGGGCATGTACTAGCCCAGTCTGAAAGGAGGCATTTCAAAGGTATGTTAACCTAGATTCACAGAAACAGTGGGAAGGTCTTGCTTAAGGTAGGGTGTGACTACTCACCATGACCTGACCAATTAGGAATTTAAGATCATCCTGGGCGGTTACTTTCCATAGAACCCCTTTTCATCCACAGTGGTATGACCACTTCAACTGTCCTTGATGAATTGCTAGAGGCTCAGAGTGGATAAACTCCAGAATTAAAAAATGAGGGGAATTTAGTGTTAGGAAAACGCTCACACTTATGTGAGTTTTACCTCCAGAACCCCAACAGATTCTCTGGGCAAACAATTGAGGAAAACAAAACAAAACAAAACACCTCTGGCCTCATACTTCCTAAAGGAAGAGAAATAAACCAACTTTGAAATAAGCGCTTGAGAAGGAAACTGGTCTTTGCAAGGCGTGTCAGGCCATAAAAACTGTGAATAACACACTGCCCTGAGTGGTGGTGGTGGTGGGGGGGGGGGATCGTTATCACTGGCCCCAGGACAGATCATCAACACCTGGGGGCCTTCCTGGGGGCTGGGACCTTATCTGCAAGACCAAGACCCCAGAAGTTTATAAAAAGCGAAGCCTCTGCGTGTTACTTCACTCTGATTTGGAAATTATTCCCGGAGTCCACTAGTGTTAATAAATGGGGTCCCTCCCTTTCTCTAGGACGCATGCTTGGTATTTCTTTGGTCTTCTGCAATACCCTGAGCATTTGTTCTCCTTATCAAAAGCCTGCCCTCAAGGGAAACAATTTACCGGAGCCTCAGCAATCTGGGGAAAAGAAATAGCTTAAAATTTGAAACCTCCTGGCCTTCCTGTCTCAAGGGGAAAGTAGGACTTGTGAAGGTCATAGCCCAAGGGCACTGGCTCACTACAGAACAGCCTTAGCACTTTGAGTGCCAACCAGTATCCTAGGAACTATGCGAAGATTGCCAAGGCATTTTTCCTGATTTTACAGCAGTTTAGGAAACAAATTATGAATCGCAAGTAAATGAAGTTACATATTCAAAAACTTAAGGAAACCTTTACTACATTGACATATTTAGCAATATCATCATCACTAATAAAAGCAGACTTAGAACTGGACGCCGTTTCGAAGCTTTGATAGCGCTCCCGGCACTTTTGGCGAAAGACAGGAGGAGCTCGATTGTGCTCCCCAGCACTCTAGGGGTTAATCATTGGTCTATGTCCCCCCTCCCCCCTCCCCTCATCAGGAGGAGGATTCTGTGAGAAAATGGCTCTAAGCTGAGATGCTTTGACTCACTGAGTCAGAGAGAGGCCGGGGCCTTGGAGACAGAATTGGGGGTTTGCTTGGGATGAAATGCCACTGTTGGTTGCTGCCCTGGTTGCAAGCCTTGTGGAGTCCCTTAGAGTTAGGAGATGCATGAAGGTGAGGGGGAGGGGTAAGATGCAGGTGTACTCATGGGAGGGATAGCCAACGCTGGGACCTTCGTTGTGGGGGGTTTTAAAGGCTGGACGTTTAACCCAGCTGGCCTGGCTGAGTGGTGGAGCGTCAACCTATGAACTGAACCAGAAGGTCCCGGTTTGATTCCCAGTCAGGGCACATGGCCCAGTTGCAGGTTCAATCCCCAGTGTGGGGTATGCAGGAGGCAACCAATCAATGACTTGCTCTCATTATTGACATTTCTATATCTCTTCCTCTCTGAAATCAATAAAAATATATTTTAAAAATAATAAAAAGGCTAGTTGTTTAGGGGAGGATCTCAATAGAATATTCATCAGCTTTGCGCTGATGTACCAAAGTTAGATTTATTCTCTTAACTTCATCTTTCCTTGGGTGTGGTTGGTAAATGGCACTAACTGGATTTCTGCTTTCTCCCTTGAGTAGAGTGATTTAAGCTACTTACCTTATGGTTGGGAAGTAGCGGGAGTGCAAACCATTTACTCTTCAGTGTCCTTGGTTTAGGGAAGATAGGATTTCCTGGATGGGTGCAAACTGCTTGGCACCAAATTTTCTACGTGACTGCAAACTGCTGTTTAACTGTCTCAGTTTCCCTATTCCGTTTGCCCTGGTTTACTAGCCTATCTTGAAAGCAGCTGCCGCCAGGGAGACAGGACTCAGGTAGCAACCTAAATTGCATTCCCCAGGATGTAGGGGAGGACTCCTTTTCTACATTCCAGCCCATGTTGCCAATTACATCTGTTTTATGTAAATGAGATATTCAAATCGTGCAGCTTTTATTGAACAGGGCAGGTCTCAATCTGTTGATAAAAAGATAAAACCAGGGTTTCCCTGCAGAGGTTGACTCAGACCTGTAAACAGTGGGCATAGTATGGGAAGCTGAGAGTTCAGTCTGAGGTTCTTCTGGGTATGCAGAGTATGTGAGGTGCTCCTGTCAGCAAATCACTGGCTCTCTTTTTTTTAATTAAATCTTTATTGTTGAAAGTATTGCATATGTCCCTCCCCCCACTGACCTCTTCTAGCCCACCCCACCCCAGCTCTTCACCCCC